TCAGACCGCAGCTCCGTATGTCTCCTTTTTTTGGTATTTTCACGCAAATTCTTCTGCTAATTGGGGTTTAGTCCAATTCTGTATCCTTCCCTTCAAGGCTCAGGGTTCCATGATTATCTTCTGTGTCTGTGTTAATTGGCTTCCCTTTTCTTTGTTGAAGAGGGTCTGTGCAATCCTTCTGCCTAGTCAGCCATCTTGCCAGAACTCCACTTTATTCTTAATAGTAGGGAAAAGGGATCCAAAGATACTATCCAGCCATTAAAATATGAGTCAGTCAAGGGATTCATACTTTCCCTACCTTTATCCAACTTGGAATCACTATTTGAACATCAGATAAAAATTCCTCCATATTCTGACCTTTTTGGTGATAGAAAGGTGCAGTTTTTATGTGAGTATCAGTAACCAGCAGTGAACATAGAACACAAATAGCTTGGTCAATATTGTTGTTGTTGTTATGTGCCGTCGAGTTGGACCCAACTCATAGCGACCCCTCCTTGGGTTGCCAAGGCAGTATCACTACGGAAGTAGATTGCCCAGCCTTCCTTCCGAAGAGTGGCTGGTGGGTTAGAACCACCAGCCTTCTGGTTAGCAGTCAAGTGCCTTAGGCACTATGCTACCAGAGCTCCTGCTTGGTCAATAGTCAGTGCTAATCCAAGTTCAGAGGTAAAGGAAAGATCAACTAACATTGTAGAGTCAGCAACCAAGTAATTAGTCCTGCCAAAAACCAGCTTACCCATAATAAACACTAGCCTGAAAAATCAGACTTATAAGGATAAGAATGGCATGCTTTCTAAGGGCTGATGATTTTTAATGGTGAGTTCTAGATCTAGAAAAAGGTGACTATCCTTTGAAAGGATTTGATCTCAACAGTAGAATTAATGAGAGCAAATAAATTGTCAGTGTTTTGGTTATATCTTGTGCTGCTCTAACAGAAGATACTACAAATGAGATGGATTTAACAAGCAGGAGTTTATTCTCTTACAGTTTGGGTGGCTAGAAGTCCAAATTCAAAGTACCAAGCTCTAGGTGCTGGGTGAAAGCCTCTTGACCTTGAGCTTCAGCACTGCCTCTTGCTCCTGGCCCACTGGATCTAGAAGTGTCTTTTCACTCAAGTAGCTACTGGCTGCTGAGGCTGACAAACCCAAGGTCAACAAGTAAAAAGGCACAGTCCTGACATTACCAAACCACACGACAGGCCATTGATTCAAGTGCATTAAGAGATCCAAGATTGGTAGACATGGCAGGCTGCCGAATAATGACTTGGCATGAGGATTCAAGACCAGAGATTAGAACGAAGCATCTGTGGTAACCAAAAAAAACAAAAATCCATCTACAGGTCAACTCGTTAGATGTTATCACAGTGAGTTATCACAGTGATCTTATATGCTTCTCCTTATATACTAGGAGCAGACCACATCCCTAAGGCAGCTACACAGATACTCAGTAGATTCCACCATGGAGTTGATTACCATTCTCATCATGGGAATATTACATCTAGCTACCCAGCCACTCAAAACCAGACCCAGCCAAGTTAACACATAACCTCAACTACCATAGTCAACAATCAGGATCCACTCATGGCAGTAAATCTGTCATATGTTTGATTTAATTTATGCTTTTAAAATAAACTATTCTAACAAGCTCTGGGGGTGTAATGGTTAAGACATTTGGCTGCTAACCAAAAGGTTGGTAGTTCCAACCCATCAGTTGCTCCCCAGAAGAAAGATGAGGCAGTCTACTTTCATTAAGATTTACAGCCTTGGAAATCCAATGAGTCAGGATCAACTAGAAGGCCTTGAGTTCAAGTTGTTTTGTTTTTTTGGTTTTTTTTTTTGAGTCGATAATGGGGAGCCCTGGTGGTACAAACAATTAAGCTCCAGTCTGCTAATCTAAAGGTTGGTGGTCTGAACCTACCCAGCAGCTACACAGAACAAAGATCTAGCAATCTACTTCCATAAATAAAGATCACAGTCAAGAAAATCCTGTGACACAGATTACTGTCACATGAGGTCATTTTGAGTCAAAAATGAGCCTATTCAGAAATGGCCCTCAAGTCTAACTAATTTTAGCTTTCTTAAGCTAAAACTGGGAGCTCTGGTAGCGTAGTGCCTAATGCACTTGACAGCTAACCAGAAGGCTGGTGGTTCAA